CTCGGGAGCAAGCGAGCCAAGAAGGATATCTACACGACTTGTCAAGCAGGACTCAGATTCAGCGAGATGAGATTGACGAATTGAGACGCAAGGTAGCTGAGATGAGCAATTTAATTCATCATCTGGAGAGGCAGCTGGAGGAGACTCGTATGAGACAGGAAAGGCCTATCCAAGAGTTGACTTTGAGGTGTGTCTTTCCAGAAATGTTTATCGCTAGTACTTGAACGCAATCTCCTATGGTTTCTACGGAAAGATTGTAGATCTAATTAATCAGATAAAGTACATCGAGTATATATATCTTTTTACCAAGCGCGAGGGCCGTACTGGGAGAATGTCGGCTCGAGGTCTTGACAGTACGGGCCGAGCGCAGCGATATGTGGGTCCGCACAGGATATGTGTCCGTACAAAAAAGACCGAGGGCCGATATTCTTTCAGTACGGTCCCGAGCAAGCTTGGTTAATAAGAGATTTATCATACGACTGAAGTTCAAAGGGACACAAGTGCGGTATCATTCGGGACCATTCGGGACAGTGCCTGGTCCAATATGGTGCACGATCCTCGCAGTAGAGAGCGCTACTGCGAGGATCGTGCATCATACATGTGTAGTTTTGTGTAGTAGGTGTATTTTGATTTGGTAGGTGTAGCTGGTGTAGTTTGGTGTAGTTTGGTGTAGTTTGGTGTAATTGGTGTAATTTGGCCTAGTTTGGTGTAGTTTTGTGTAGTGAGTTATGCACACCTACCAAACCGAAATACTCGGCTCGTAGGAGGTAAGGCCGATTGTCTGCCAAGTGTTCGCCTACGGGAGGTAAAACTCAATTGAAAATTGTAAACAAGTATCTCTAAAAGTGGTCACTTTTGAGGGGTGGTCGCAATCTAGAGATTCCATTTATAATAAGTTGACTTGGAAACGTTTGGTATTTTGAAGGAGTGGTCGCTTTCCTGAGGTGGTCACAAAGGGTCGTTCATCTGTATTTTCATTTTGAGGACAAGGGATTTCCGTATTCATGGATATTATTTGAGTATTCATGTTGTGTTGCAACTTGGCATGAGAAATGTTATCAAGATCCTCTTGTATCAACAGCTAACATTTGTGCATGCAGAGAGTTGCCTACGGCTTCGTGGTAAAAGAAAACGCAGTATGTCATGCAGTGCATTGTTCGGAATACTTCAGTCTTCGTCACAGCCTTCGTAAATGTACACCTTTGGCGAGATTCTGATCTTGTTTGATCTTTATCAGTCAAGGTTTTATTGACAGATCAGAAGCTTACCTTTTTAACTTGTGCCACCCTCTATGGCATGTCGGCATCTAGCAGGTCAACTTCATTAAAAATCCTTTGAAAAGTTCTTTTTCGAAGAATGTCGACCTCTTCACTAGAAATTCAGTAAGGTATGAGGTCGTTCTCGCTGCCCTTGAGCTGAATTTCATAATTTTGGAAAAAATTTCGCGAATGGCCAAGAATGAAATTTTGACATGCCAGTTTTGATGCATAATTCTGCTTATTTCGTCAGATTCAACCGATATGAAACAAAATTGTTAGAAGTTGAGGGGCGCTTGTGTAATGGTTCATATATCTGGAAGATAGACAACTTTCGACAGTGCCGCCAAGATGCCGTCAATGGTGTGATGACAGCAATCCACAGCCCGGCCTTCCACACCAGTCTCTACGGTTATAAATTATGCATGAGGATCAACCTTAACGGCGTCGATAGCGGTGTTGGAAAACACGTGGCCCTGTTTGTTCATATGATGCAGGGCGATTATGACAGCATTCTGGAATGGCCTTTTACTGGAAGAATTGCTCTGTCCATTTTGGATCAGTCTGATGGCGCTGAATACCGTCACCACATCAGCGAGACCTTGGTGGCCAAGCCTAACTTGCTGGCTTTCCAAAGACCCACAGCTCCGCGCAATTACAAAGGGTATGGGTATGTGGAGTTTGCACCAATTGAGACGATCCGTGAGCCGCAATATGTCAGGAATAATACCATGCTTGTGCGAATTCAGATTTTTCATTAACCGTGCAGTATTGTGCAAAAGTGATGCAAACGAATTTCAATGAATTTCTCTATTTTCGCGCTCAAGTATACGTGAAACGTTCAATGACATTTCCAGTTCTATTAGACTCAGCTTCTAAAAATTACTTCTTCTCCCTCTTGGGGCTGTACCTTGACGTGGTGAGGGAGCTTGAGTACTCTTGCGATCCGCAGAGCTGTGCCGGAGGGGGCCCTGCATGTGCTCCCATCAGGTGTAACCATTCCGAATTGGTCTGCGGTGAAGGGTCAGACAAAACGGCCCCTTGGTCCATAGGATCAAGGGTTCTGTCTGGTCGTTCGGCACCACCCTCTAAAGATAGGTACCGGGTTACTTAAACCAAGCAGAGATGCGTCAGACGTTAGTCTTGTAAACAAGCTTTACCTAAGATGACTAACTCGTTTTGATGAGGTTGATCGTGTAGAAAAAAACCTAAATTTCTACAACACTGGAGTAGAACATGACACATTTCCAGCGAAGCTGGGACGCTTTATTCATCGGAATTCGTTTGCAGTCGGGTATTCTTAGATCAAACCAGGAGCGGAAAGTAGGATAACGATAGAGAATTTGACTTCATTTTGGTGTAGTTTGCCTTACGTAAGCATCATACATTTTTTAGAGTGTGTTAATTTACTTTCTTTTTTGCATGAAAGTTTTTTTTTTTCCTTTTTTTGGCAATTTTGTGTAGTGTACTTTAGAGAATAATTCGTCAGACAAATCCACAAGCCAGCTGCCTCGCATCGCATAACCATGATTTCCTCGGCTTATTTCAGAATGTCCCGACATAGTTGCTACAGTAATAGAACCCTCAAATTTCTCGCAATTTTCTCGGATTTTAAACATGCTCATAATTTTCTTTTTTATATTATCGAGCATTTACTGGATCTCAATTTGATAGTTAATAAGGGAAAGTGATGCGTGTATGAGGCATCAGCTTGTTAAACGATCCGTGGTAAAATGAGAGAATCTAATGAAAGTATTTGAGTTCACAACCCTTACGGAGGAAAAGCTTTTGTTAAAATTCGTGGAAGTTTCTTGAAATTTCTTCCAACAAGGGATTAACATTAAATCAGGAAATGGTAGTTGGGGTCTGTAAAAACAAATGGGGAAACTATCGCATCTTAGATCAGTTTTTATGTGCAAAGTGCATAAAAGCTCTTGTAGTTAAAGACAAAAAAAAAAAAACAAACAAAAAAAATTAAAAGCATTAAAAAAAGGTTAAAAAAGAGAAGAAATCAATAGTTCAAAGAAAAACATTAACGCGACTCCATAGCAACATCAAATAGCGAGATGGTTGCAGAGCGCAGGATTTAGCAGTTTTTTTAAATATTTTTAAGCTGGTCACATGGTGAAAATGTTGGCTTTAATTTTCTATTTGTATCATAATTTATATCATAGTTTACATACACTAGTGCCTAAATGCAACACCCTGGTTATAGGAGGAAAAGAGATTTGAAGGCTCTGTTACTATTTGGCGGAGTAACTTCAATTTCTTTAGAAATTTGAAAGAGATGAGGGAAAAATCAATAGATAGGAAATTTGTAAACTGACTTGATCTTTCTTTCGAGGCCATTATAAACGTTTCAAAATGGCCAAAGTTGTATCACTCTTTTATCATTCTGTTAAGTACTAAGCCACTTAACATGGCAATAAAAGAATTATACATTTTCTGTCATTTTGAAATAACACGTTTCGGTTTTAATGTGGCTTTCAATTGAGTTATTGGATTTGAATCGTAATTCGTTTTTACAGACCCGTTAGGTTTGGTTGGGTTAAACCTGTTGTTGGAAAAATTATTCTGTAGCAATACACTTTTGCATAATACGTCTTCCTCATTGAACGAAGAGAGGTGTTTTGTGGCAGCCTAAGTGTTTGGATGCCATTAATGATCTTCATCCAGAGGTCAGCAGGCTTATTATGATGAAGCAACGATTGTTGAAATTGAATGATTTCCTTTCCTTGCTGAATTCTACAAGTTTGTTGATGCATAAATATTTAACTGAATTCGCACGGGTTAAGTTACCAGGAACCTTGATTAACGACCATGTAACAGAAAACAATTTGATAGCGGTTTTTCGATCTATAATCTATGTAAAGTAGATTTCAAGTTACAAGAATAGTTCTTAACATACTATTGTGATGATAGTTCCCAATTTATGAGTTGTTTACAGGAAGTTAAGTTCACAGATGGTAAACCTAATGTAATAGTAAGTTTTAACCGAGAGACAAGTGTTATCTCAGTTTGTTATTCATCATTAAATAACTATTTAAAAGTGATTTTCCATATTGCATACTTAGTCATTTGTCTCTAAACGTGAGATCGCGGTTGAAAGCCAGGTCGATTAAAAGGCCACTAGGGAACAGTGACCCATTGAAGAAATGGTGCCATCAGACAAACACTACCGCGTAATAAAAAACGAGATATTGCGAAACAAGGTAAATTATCCCATGATGAACTAGATTTCCCAAGCCGCCACGTCTTTTCCAGTGCTTTCAATGTTGAATTCTCTAAAAACGAAATAGATGCTCGCAATTGTTCGGTAAAGACGAGTTGTTTCCATTTTGTCCTACTCTGAGATTACGACCCAATGAAACCTCACGTCATCGAAAAATGTAACACAGGTTGCAAGAGTAGGACTACTTTAAATCTGGGCTCTCGCCGGTCCGGGTTGCGTCAATTGGTCCAGCACCACATACATTATCTTTTGTAAGGTTTTCTGTAGGATTGCGTGAGCACAGCCATGTGTACTGTCCTTCCCAGCTCTTGACGCAACGCTCTTCCTAACTAGTACCGTAACATGAAAATTCGAACAACACTTGGCAAGGTGGTAGAACACCAAGTCACCTTGATCTCGTCACGCATTGCGCGTTCCCTCCCCACCAGCACGTTGTACGACGAGACCAATCAGTGGGTGGGAAGGCGACTTCCAGAACACCGCACCAGTAAAAGGGTAAACACGAAGCCACATTGGCCCTCACTTGAGCTTCCGTCTATGATGGCGTTATTTTCTGTCTTGTGATTAGCGATTTGTAGCCAGCTGTGACGCACTTTGAAATCATTTGGTGCGAGTTCGGTAGAAGATAGGGAATGGTAAACCCAAACGATTCGAGTTCTTTTGAAGTCACTATCAGTGATAAAGAGTGGTGAATAGGTCTTTTGCAATAGTTTGCCACGTGATCGATTATCCCTTAGTGATGCCATATCAGGTGGCAAGCTATCCAGACCATGCTTAGCAACCAACAAAGCTTGGCGGCTGGGAGAAAAACAAAAGCAATGTAATCCCTTTATCAGTATTTATTTGTGAATAGGTGTCAAAAGAACTAAGGCAATATCGCTGAATAATTTATGTTAACATCTCTTGCAATTTTAGAATAAATTAATCGTCATGGGCAGCATTTCGCGCTTGCGCAGTTTTATCACGGGCTCGATCGGAAAGCCATCAATGGCGGGGGTTTTAGGCATAAAACATCAATGCGATTACCTACGTTTGCCCCTCTGTTAACTGTTTTGCAAACCTTGGCGTCCTATGAATAGAGATTTGAAGGATAGCTTGTTGAAAGGTTTGTTTTCATTAGATCGCTACGATCGCGTGATCACCGAGATAGAGTTCAATTCTATCTTGTTGTTATGCGTGAGTACAAACTTATTATTATCCCCGTCATTTTCAGGCATAGAATCAAGTGATATTAGCAGATTTCCAGATATCTCTTTCGCTAAAGTTCAACGTTATGCGCCGGGCTGTGAACATACAAGGAAAGCTTACAAGTTTTTCGCTGAGCCCGGGTACATCCACGATAAGAAAGGTAACGGTCAGCATGAAATATCAAAGACTTAATTAAAAGGGAATTTCGGGAGAAACTAAAATAAAAAGATGTAATGCGACACTGACATTTCATGAGTGTACTCAACTTTAAACACAATGTGAGAAGTGGTAAAGCCTTTAGCAGCTCTTAAGTTTTTAGAGGAAAGAATCGTTCTATTATTGTAGGCACTTTTGGATAAATCCATTCAACTTAATTTTACTTATATTGTTTCAGGTCACTACTCTGTGGAACAAGCTTGGGTGTGATTACCATCAGCCAGGTTTTATTGGTCTAAGAAGGAAAGTGAGTTTCCACATACCTTGAGTGTTGTTGTTGGGTTAGAAGATAAAACCGTCAGCGGAAGCTGTTCCTGTGTGGCAGGAGCAAGTGGATTCTGCGGCTTGGTCATAAGGCACTGCGAGACGAGCGCACATGTGCAAGCCCTCCACAGATGTGTAGTGTTCCTTGTTAGCCGCAAAATTGTTAACAAGGCAATTCAGGACATAATGGTAAAGAAACCACAACCGTGGGTATATTACGATACGTTTGTAAAGAATGCCTTATACTCTCCTACAACAATTTATCTTCTCTTGACCACCGAAATGGTGTCTTCTTTGCAATCACAACCACTTTTGGCAACGACATTGCTAGAACCAAGCAGAATACGGTTAATATCTCCAGTTGCTACTTTATTTGGCAATGTAACGCAAGGCAGCATCGGCAAAAACTAACAAAAGCGTACGTAATTAGCGACTATTTCTGCACATTTTTCCCTGACCTCCCGCTTGAAACAGCTGGTGTAAGGTTCTCCAATAACATTTCAGCTTGCTAACTTGGATTCTCTAAAGTACCCCTGAGACGAAAATTGACCATTTTATTTTGGCTTAAATTGTTTACACAATGTTGAATTGGGTCAAGTTAAGACCCTTTTTGCCATTAAAAACTCGAAACAAACCTTCGATGACCAATTTTTACCGCTTCAAAGTTGTCCAAAAATCGTCCGCCATTGCTGAAAACATGTTCTAGCCGAGCCCGTAAAAACGTCATCATGGCGTCAAAGGCTCAACAAACTTATGCTTTGCTTTGTCACAACTCTCTTTGTTCGCTGCACAGAGAATCGTACATATTACTTTTTTGAGAACTGTTTCGTTGTCAGTCGGGAAATGTCGACTTTTTCAGATGATACATTGTCCCAGAAATCATCGGAAGCTTCTGTGGATAGTTTTGCGCCGACAAACGATGAATTTTTGCCATGCGAATAA